TACATTTTGAGACCTTCACCACTCAGACTGGATAACACTGTTAGTTAATGGATATGGCATCCTGGAAAAAAAACAGAAAAGATCTTCAGGAGGCAAATAAAAACTAGTTACCAGAAGAGCTTTTTATGAACTGAATTTTGAGGCTGCTGTTTAATCAAATAAGTGATAGCTACTGCCAAGTTGTGGTATACATGAAACAATGCAATTTAACACAATAAAATGATTTGCTTATTTATTCTTTCAGGACTGAGCTACCAAGATCTGTTCCTTCCAAACCTTTGGTCTTTCTTCTGTGATTTTGGTCCCAACTGTGGCCTGAATGCCTTCATTGAGCTGTTGACTTCATCTCCAAACAACACACACCATCCGGTGTTCCAGATGCTGACTCTTTTCTGTGATGCTGCTAGTCATCTCATTGTGTAAGTGCTGGCTTCAATTATCAGACAGATAACTATAGAAAAATCTTTGCACCTGTTAATTGCACTTCTAATTGTTTAGTTTATGTGCTGTTTTTTCCAATGTGTATAAATGTGACTTGTTTTATTTTTATTTTTTTTTTTTTTTATTTTTATTTTTTTTGTAATACAGAAGTTCAAAATGATTCAGCATAAGTGACACCCTACAATATGTTCTCATAATACTGGTGCCTTAAATTTAAACTTTCAGAATACTTGATGATGTGGAACTGTATGAGCAGCAAAAACCTTTCAAATTAGAAAATGTAGTTGCCATGACATCATTTCTTAACCAATTCATCTTCAAGCTTGTGTGGAACAATCTTATTGGTCAGTATAGTCAATTTCTGTAATATGCCATATTGGAGTGATTGTACTTCATTAGATTTTTGCAAATTTAAGTTTTCGTTCAAAGTTTTAAAAAGTTTAATCATTATCAAAATAAAGGTTCATTTCTCAATATTCATTTACTAGATGTTTTACATATTTTGTAAATGGATCATAAATCTATAAATGTAATTTTCTTTTACTGATTTCAGATGTGACAACTGCTGCTAGCAACCCACTATTTTCCTCTCCACACACTCTACTCATGTTACTATATGAGAGAGACTGCAGGAGACCCTTCACCCCAGATAAACACTGGCTAATTAGGTCTATATCTAAGAATAGATTGTACCCAAATAGTATTATGAGTATTCATTGAAGGGAACTTCATTTCAAATTATTATATCGAAGGAAATAAAATGTAATTAGGATATAATTATATTATATTCTATTTTTAAATTGTAATTGGCAGTTTTTATATCATTGCATTATCTGTATTGTATGTTATATTAATAATGCATATAATATGTTTGTAACACTATAGGGACATCAAGCCAAGTACATTCCTTCAGGAACTTGACCGAGGCAGAAAAACTGCGCAGTTTTTGTTGCAGAAAACGCCACATATCATACCACATAAGGAGGTAAGAAAATCCTATATGACCAGTCACAAAAAGGGTTAGAAAATGCCATTTTACAAGTGAGAAAATACCCCATCATACCACACCATCATATTTATGTACATTTTACTTACTTGTATTTTTTAATGTTGGTTTTATTTTTCAGAGAGTTATATTATTTAGAAAAAATGTGCAAAAAGAAAAAGAAGTGTTGGGCCTTACAGAGTCTGTGTGTGCATCCCCCACTTCTACTCTAGTCACTGTGCATAGGGCAAGGATCATTGAGGTAAGAATGTGTTTATTTAACTTTGATATATTTTGGAAATTGGTACATATTGGTTGATGTAAAAATGACGAAGAGACTCAAAGTGATGATTTATCAATAAGGTGACTTTGGTATGGAGAAAACACCCAAAAAAATCAGTCAATGGCATGAGTTGTTTGTCTTGTTAGGATGGATACAGACAGCTGTCTCTGGTGCCACCAGGTGCTTTGAAGGGAATCATCAGAGTGAGGTTCATAAATGCACAGGTCAGTTAACATGCTTCTCTATGCCTTAATAAAGATTTTCACTCAATAATTGGTTGAATGAACATTTTAAGCCAATAGCTTTTATGTAATGATGCAAAATGTTATCAAAATGTAGTAAAGATGACATATAGTCCTGTTTACCATTCTATGACCTGGCTGTATGCTGTCACTGTAAATATGCTTGTTTTCAGGGTTTGGACGAAGCTGGCATAGATCAAGATGGAGTGTTCAAAGAATTCCTTGAGGAGACAATATCAAGAGTGTTTGATCCTTCACTTAATTTGTTCAAGGTAGTAGATGCAAAACTGTTTCTATTCTTCAGTGATATGAGAGACTAATCGTACTATATGTGTGAGGAAAAAACATATTTGTTCAGTATGTTGTTGTGAAAAACTGGTATTGATCAAATGATATGCATGGTACTTGGATAAAATAGTAATGAAAAATTACAGAATAATTCTATAATCTGAAGCAAAGCCAATAATATCTGGGATCTATTTCAGGTGACAAGTGATCAGAAGTTGTACCCTTCTCCTACTTCAGCAATACAGGACAATCATTTGACACTGTTTGAGTTTGTGGGAAGGATGCTTGGGAAAGCTGTTTATGAGGTATGGTATTCAGTGTAGCATCATTGTTTTACTTATACTCTAATAAGTGTATGTAAAACTTTTATGTTGAATGGCCCCAAATGGGCTCAAACAACAAAACCAAAGCCTGTGCATGATGAATGCAGTGCTGTTACTTAATTTATTTGAAAGTTAAATGAATTGTGAGAGGCCTTCTCTCTCCAAACGGTAAATTTTGGTGTCCCTAAGGACACCTGACACATTACTATTTACATTTCCTTGGATATTAGTGAGGGACTGTCACAGTTAAAACAGTGCCACATCTCTACTTACAGGGTATTGTGGTGGATGTGCCCTTTGCACCATTTTTCCTGACTCAGATCTTGGGCAGAACCTACAGCAGTACATATAGCTTTATGGATGAGCTGCCATCTTTAGACCCAGAGCTCTATAAGAACCTCACTTATATTAAGGTATTCAAACAAGATTAATGTCTTTAAATTTGCCTGCTTCACCTGAGTTTAGATCACTTTGTGATATATTAACATTAATTTGTGTTTATTTCAAAATTCAGCTCTAACTACATCTGTTAGTCTAAGATTAAGAGTAGTTTAATCAGATAAGATTTAATTAATAGAGACAAACTATTATTAATTTTGATAGCAAATCCTCTCAATTTCCAGCATTATGAAGGTGATGTTTGTGACATCGAATTGACATTTTCCTCTAGTGAAGACTATCTAGGCCAGCTAGTCACACATGAGCTGGTACCAGGAGGGAAAGCCATATCTGTGACAAATGAGAACAAGTAAGTATGAGAACGGTTGTCGTAACTTGGTGGGTGTAATATTGAGTTAAGTGGACAATAGTTTAATGTGACATTATCTTGTGGCAATTAAAGCAGGAAAGTAGGATGTATTTCGTGCCATTTTTTTTCCTCAGGATCAGCTATGTCCACCACATGGCTCATTTCCGCATGCATGT